CTGCTGCTGTCTGCATCACCCTTCTTGTTGTTTGTGAGTTCAGGAGGAAGTGTTGTTGTTGTGGTGGTGGTGGTAGTAGTGGTTGATTCCTCATTATTACTGGGTTTGTTGGGAGTGTCAGAGTTCGTACTCGTTGAGGTATCGTTCTCAGTTGTATCGTTGTGTGACTGAGATTCCAGTGAAGAGGGTGTCTGTTCTTGCTGAGAACGGTGTTCTTGAGTGTCAGTATTAACTGTACTGGATAAAGTAGGAGAATCAGATTGTGCTTCTTTTTCACTTTTCCTCTTCTCTTCTGCTTGTTCACTTCCTGGAGCATTCGCTTTCTCTTCTGTTGTCTTCTCTACTTTTGGTTGATCCCCACCACCTTGATCATGACCAGTATTGACAGAAACAACTTGGGATCCATTATCATTTATACCTCTCCCTCCTTGTAGTGAAGCTGAAGTAGTTTGAGCGGTAGATGCTTCTGCTTCATTATCACGATTGTTTCCATTCTGACGTTCATTCTCAGCCACACCTTTAACAAGAAGGGTGTTCTTAGAGTCTTTAGTCTTGTCTCTCTTATGTTGATGATTTTCTAAATTTATCTTTTGAAGACTCACATCAAGGTCAGCTTTGTCATTGGGAAGAACTGTTGCAGGTACACTTTTTGCCGGATCAGAATGCTGAACTGCTTGTCCTGCGTTTAATCCTCCTCCCAAACCTGTACTGGCGGTTTCTTGTTCTTCCCCAACCAATTGATTCTTAAGTGAAGCTTCCTCCTCTTGACTACGATCACTCACGACCAAACTATCATTAGAACACTGAGATTCAGATGAACCGGCTACTGAATAAGATGGACAGGGAGAAGATACAGGAGGCACAACACCAAGAGGAGGAGGATGCACAGGAGGAATTTCCTCAGGTTTATCCTCAAGAGCTTTAGGTTTATCATCAGCTACCACACAGCTGCAGACACAACACAGTGCTATAGTCAGAACACAGAGAAAGTGGCGTAGTGACATCATTACTTTTTCCGTTGGTGTTACTATCTCCAAGAGGTGAACCAAACAAAAAACAGAAAGAGGCAACAAAAACATAAATAAAGTAAAACACATAAAGATAACAAAAAGAAAATGGTAAAAGCAAACTAAGCATAACAGAAAGCTGCAACCATCTCTCAGATAGTGTCCAAATGAAAGAAACAAGCAAACAATACCCAATAACAAACGGATAATCCCAATTAACCCCTCAAAAAGAAAAAAAGAAATTAAAGAGCACAACCATTAAAAGTAGACAGCACAGAAATAAAACCAAACTGCCTCTTCTTGTAGGATCAAGCACAATTACAATTTTACTTATGTATTCTTTAACATTTTTTCTCACCGCACAAAACACTCCAACACACAACAATGGGGGAAAAAACACACAGCGCCCAAGCAAAGAAAACGTGAACAAAAACACAAATTAAGAAGAGGAACAACCGCACAAAAATAACTTACAGACTACTGAGTATACTGGTCTGTTCAAGCACATAAGAATACAAATTGTATTAACTACTATTTTTTTCTTTGCTCTGCATAAAGCAGACTAACAAAACCGTGCTGGGCAAAGCACAAAATGTCCCAGCAGACCAAAAGCAAACAAAGAATCATGTATTAATCATTAGCCCAATTTACACAGTAAACACAGAAATATACACCAACTATGGGTGTAGGTCTATATGTGTTTATATACGCAATTATAAATATAAACTCATCTCTTATTATTATTTTCTTTTTACCACTGCAAAAAGCAGTTCATCGTCATCATCACAGTGCAAGCCCAGGTGCACACACAGAGAGAGAGTCTCCAAGAACAGACACACACAAAAGTAAAAGAAAAAAGATATTCCAATTAAAAGAGAAATCTGGTAAACAGATTATTAGTTTATTAACCCATGGGGGATGTACGCAATTATGATTATGTTAGTTTAACCATTATTATTATTAACCCTCGAGTGAGTGCCACCGTTCAGTACACAGTAGCGGAGAACAATAAAGCCACAATCAGTAGCGGTGCTGCAGTGCGCATCCACACAGGACTGATACTGCTGTCAGCATTAGCCTTGTTTTTTAGGGTGGAAGTGATGTTGTTGGTGTTGATCTCTGCTTTGGGTACAGGAGATGGAAATGGAGTTGTGGTTGGTGCTTCTGTATTAGTGTTCTCCGGACTCGGCGGAATAGTGGGATTTGGATCTTGTGAGTTTGATGAGGCAGTCACATCAACACTTGCAGAAGATGGTTGCTGGGAAGTATTATGGTCGCCAGATGTAGTGTTCTCGGTGCTTGGCGTAGTAGTGGAATTGGTTTCTTGTAAGCTTGGTACTGTATTTTCTGACTGTGGTTGTGGCTTCTCTTGGTTAGAATCAACACCTTCAGCTGAGTGTCTGTCTGAAGTTAAGGATGCTGTCACCTGTGAATCTAAAGCATCTGTTGATGACGTACTTCCTGTAGCTTCCTTGCATGAGGGTAAACTTTCTGTAGAAGGAGAACCTGCTGTAGTCGGATTAACATCACCAGGCGCAGCGATTTCTGTGGATGAAAAAGAGTGCTGCAAAGGTTTACCACCATTAGCAGTACTGTCTTCTTTGGCTTTCTCAGACGGATCTTGTTGGTTTCTCGCGATGGAATCATCTCCGTCAGATTCGGTGATGACTGTACTTTGTGATAATGTTGCCTGCACCTGTGAAGGGTCTGGTGATAACGCATTCCCTAAAGGATCAGCACCTGAACGTAAACCTTCACTATGTGCAACACCACCTGATTCACCCCTTTCGGCAGAAATATCTCTACCTTCTTCATTGGTTAAATGATCTGTCGTTCCTCCATTACCACGTCCCGCAGAAGTTTGTTTACCTCTTGAGGAACCCTGAAAATACGGAAAACCAAAATCAATAAAAGCCATCACCGCCTTTGGCCGTCCAGCCTTAACAGGAGTAGTAGCAGCAGCCGTCATGGTATACCCGCAGGCGCAGCACAACACAACGGCCAACACACACATCACACGGCACATCATCATCATCATCATCATCATCATGAGAGAGACAATAGTTTGTTTCACGTAAAAACACTGATCTAGAAAGAAAGACAATCAAAAAAGAAAATAAATGAAGTATCAAACATGTTAGGACAAACAATTCGATTACCACTATAGAAACTCACATCGTGAACGTAAACACCTACCAGTTAAAGAATGAAATACAGCGCACAATAATCTCAGTGAGAGTAAAAACAAAAAAAACGCCCACACTCAGAAATATCTCAAAAACGGCTGAACCACCCAGCAAAACAAACAAAGAAAAAGATATTAACCATTAGCCCAACGTACCCAGTAAACATAGAAATACACCAACTATGGGTGTAAGTCTATATGTGTGTATACGCAATTATAAATATAAATTCATCCTGTTATTATTATTTCATTTTCCCTTTCATTGCAAAAAGCAATTCATCATCATTATCA